ACGCGGCTGGGCCTATTAACCGTGGGCTTAATAACCGGCGACTACTGTACTGCTATTTATAGTCCCCATTGAAAGTGTAACATTCTGCGCCTGTTGACTCGTCATTCTTCCCTCAATCATTTACAATGGGATTATAAATAGAGCGAATTCGATACAACTGTGAGTCACCACTTTTTTTCTGAGAGTATGCCCGGTAAACGAGCCGCGTGGTAGATGCGCTGGACCAACAGGGAGGTGTTCGACAGTCGAACTGTCGCCTGGGCGTATTTTGCCGTCGAAATATTGGGTAGCTGGAGAACCAGTGACTGCGATTACAACCATAGTCATGCCGCAAGAAGGGTGTTCTCCTGACGCCGTCATTCTTATAGCCGTGACAATCACTCTTAATCTCCTCGACGCCACGTCCAGTGGGCCTCGCAATTTTTTTATCAATAGTGAGCTCTATGCTCGGATTTGATCCCTTTCCCCATTCGTGCCCATTTTCCGTCCCGTTGTGACCACGAGACCCTCTTTGGTGGTTGGCCTTGATTGTTAGCTATCATTTCCAGCAGTTGTGACCTCAGGACGTTGCAAGCACATCAAGACGCCAAACGCTTTCCTTCTATAATTTATCCTGCGGTGTTAAGTCAAGTGCACACAATCTGCCGAGGCCCCACGCGTCCCAGTCATGAGCAGCACTTTGTCGCAAAGCCCGTCTGTTCGACTAAGGCCTGACAAACCTGCTCCAACCATCAGCATGAGCACTAGATAGCCCGTGTCTGCGCTCAGTGACAGGAACTAAAAGTAAATCACCAATGTGTGCGATTCTAGCTGCCAGCGTCTACATTTTAGCGCCGCGGCCCACGCTAAGGCCACTCATCGCAAACCAGGCGACGCTCGAGGCTCTGAGTGGCGTCTTAGAGGCTTTGATGTACCGGCTGAGGAGAAGGCGGGGGTGGCAACGTGTAGCCATGCCATGCCAGGGTGCGTGGGTGTCTGTCTGCACGCATGAATCACTCGCCTTCGTTGGCATGCCAGCCAGTCAGTGATTGGATGGCACAGGCCGTCCATGGCTGGCTTGACTTGCAGGCCGGTATGTCTGACATGAAGCTGCCCAGAGATGTGAGATAAAGGCATCTTGGTGCCCTTTGCTGTTTCGATGTCACGAGGGCACATTTCCTTGGGGGCTTTGCGAGCCAGTGCTCGCCGTGCGGTAAACTCAAATAGGAGGGCGTTTTTTGCATCACCTAGGATTACCAATAGTCTGTACAAACCAGAAGCTCCGCTCTGATGACGCTATTACAATACCTGTTCATTTTCAACTGAAATGCGTATTCGCTTTAATTGGTCTAATTTTGTCCAGATTGTCCGCCCCCACTTATTTATGATGGGGGTTTTCTCTTGGCCGTAAGTTACGCTGTCTAAACTGCTGTCGACTGAGACAGATTGCTGCGTACATAATCATTTAGTTTTGAAGTCAGTTTTCTACCAACTCAGCCATGTAATTTTTATATGAACCGCGCTGAAATGTGCAACACTGGACTGTTGTGTATGTCGGCATAGCGCTATCATCTCTCACTTTGTTTGGTTTTCGAAAGTCCCCTACTCCCACAGTCTATGCTACGGAAGCCTTGCTTCAATGCATTTGCGCCCCCTCTCGTCCCCTACCGTCACAGGGAGCACTTCCGTTTATCTTACGTAGATTAGCTTGACAATTTCTCTTCCCTGCCCACT